GATCATGATTTAATTCATACAAGCAATTGTATTTCAACTTTAAATCGTATAAAATTAAACAGAGAAGTATAGGAAACATATAAACTTACCTTCCAGCCGACCCTGCTCGGCCCGAACCGGGTCTTCCGGTACGGCATTCACATCCACACAGAAAAAAATATTATACTGCTAAGAAAAACAATTACTTGATTTATTTTCCTTCTTTTAAGTAATAATCTTCTTCTACAAGGAATATGTTCTTAATAAGTCTTAAAATATGTTCATTAGAAATTTTAGAGAAGTTCATTATCATGTACTCAAAAGAAAAATGCATTCTTTTTAAAAGAACAGTACAAGACTTTATCGAAGAAAAAATTTGTCTTTGGCTCTATGTAAACCGAACCTATGTAAGTAAACCGTATTTTTATTTTAATTTAATATTCTCAATTGAAAGTCTAAATTTACTAGAATTCAGAGTATATTTTATATAAATATGATGTTTATGATTGAAAGCTTATGATAGATTTGCGGATATATAAACTTATGAAGCACTTGAATCAAGTAACGTTTACTTGAATGCAGTATGTATTTTTCTGTGTGCGGAACTATAGCTGCCTTCGCGATGTAGCATCAGGATGTGCCAGATCTGAAAGAAAAATATAATTTCCCTGGTTAATAAATAGTAATATAAAGAATATAGAAGTTATTTAGTTTCGACAAATCGACAAAATGAAGTATCTACATCATATTCGATATAGGAATATCAAGAATACGAAGGACGATTATATCGCGATATATTTTTTCTTCAAATGCAATAAAAATGAGATATGATAGTTACTTGTTAAATATTAGCAAGTCCCCAATATTAGCTTACGACACATCCAGCATTATGATCACACTCGCGAAGCGTCGCAATTTGTCTTAAACGCGTTCCGATAAACGTAGAATAATCGAGAATACCGCGTGACGTCATCCCGCGCGGCCGGCGCGGTCGCCGGCGCGTCAAAGACTGTTACGATCTCGAGTACGGAACCTACGTGTGTTCATTGTTGTTCTGAAAGTCACGTGATCTTGTAAGAACGATACGGGTAATGAGACACGCCAAAATGTACACAGTATACCCACTTATTATATTTAATGTGTTCTATGTAGAGAATATAATATAATATATTATAATATAATATATTATATATTATTATATATTATTATAATATTATAATATATTATATATTGATACATATATAATTAAGTATTACAACATTATATAATATAGATAATTACTATTAGATACATATTAAACAATATCAATATATATTATAATATTGACTATAATTGATATTGTTTAATATGTATCTAATAGTAATTATCTATATTATATAATATTGTAATATCTAATTATATAATATATATCAATATATTAGTGTCAAACATATCGGCAGCGATAATTTCGATGAGAATAGATAAAAAGTTGTTTACTTCAAACGACGGTTTGAAGCTTTGTCTAGCCGTCGGGTTTCCAAACAAAGGTAAACATATCGCGATAGCTTTCGTGTGCCAGTTTGCCTTCAATAAACTCAGCGATAAAATTGATCATGCTAATAATAACGCGTGTCGCTTCCGAGAACCCGCTGCTAAGTTTGGAGAATTCTTATAAACATTGCCCGAAAAAAAAGACTGCGAGTCGTTACGGCAAGAAAGATAGACTCGGTCTTTTGTTTAAGATTTGGTGTTGGTTGCCCGACATGCGATAAAGCAATTCGGTCTAATTAGAGTACGTAACTAAAATTTGAGCTAATTCATTATCCATCGGCTCTCGGGATTTTGTGACAACAAACACGTATTCTCCGATAGCATTTATCGCATTCGTGTGCGTCGCACAGTTATTGGTCATTAAGGTCTATTAAAGTTCTTAATGAACGTATATAGAAATGTTATCTAGCGTATTGGATGCCGATAGATCGTACGGAAAAAATATTGCAAGGCAAATTATTTAAGAAAATTTTTGGACCGTACAGGATTATGATTAAAATTAAGGCATTTGTTGAAAAATGTTATGCACATTCGACTCTTTACTACAAAATTATGGTAGTTATTTGAATATTTTTTATATCATATCTGTATTAGGTAGATCGTCAAATTCTTTATCTCTACAGCAATTTACATAGCATTTTCAGTACATTGAGAAAAAATTTACTAAATTTCAAAAAACGTTTGTTTAGATACAACTGTGAACATATTTGTTTAAATTAAACAATTATTTTCTAAAATAAAATGAAATTTTAAATATAAATTTCTGTCTTTGATTTTATAGAAAATAATTACTTAAACAAATACGTTCACAGTAGTATCCAAACATAGGTTTTTTTTTTTTAATTTAGTAAATTTCTTCTCAATGTATAGGCCAGCTTTATATAAAACTCCATCTATTAAAAAAAAATCTAATTTGAACGTAATTCTTACTGCAATGTTTTCTCCGTGTAATGGCAGGGCATTAATTTCCACTGCGCCTGTCGGTAGATACGTCCTCGACAAGATGTATATTCGATGGTCTAGACGTAGGTGTTTGGAAAGAGAGTTTCTCTTCAGAGTTATTCACATCATTTAAGAAATATGCATTTTATCTTTCGTAAATATTGGGTTGATCCGTAAGTTTGTGTGTATTTTTACCTGGCATTCGTGAATGGCTATTTGTGAAATTAATAATCTCCATGCGATTAATGTGCAATGACATTGTTTGCAAACTATATCAATAATACAGACAATTGCTACTACTAAGATTTTTTCAGCGACATCTTATTGATCGCAGTGCTATACTTGTAACTGAACAATCAGTTACAAGTATGGCATTTTAGCGGAGAATACACTAATGGTACTTTGGAGAGTGCCTGCGCACATGATGGCGACTTATGTAACGCGATCAACTATCTCGATTTACCGCCGTCGACTTATAAACCTCGTAGACGAGCCACGTGATGTCGCGAGACGATATAAATCCGACAAGAAGAACAGCCGACCACACGTGTTCGAAATCGAAACGTCCAACAGGTGGTTCACAGCCATAAATCGTCACTTATTGCACTCGTGTCCTTGTGAATCTGCTGACGCGAAGAGAAAAAGAGATTAATGCGACGAGTCGTTTAACTGAAACGAATCCGGATTCTCGATGACATCACGCGCAGCTGACTTCTCGCGAAAGAATCACGTGCGCTGCATGAGTGTATGAAGTTGGCACCCCACTTTTTGAAATTTATAATTTTGAAAGTTGTTCCAGATTGTTCTGACTTTGTACCACATTGTTCCAAAGTGATATTGCTTCATTCGAAACGAATGAAACAAAAAAAATGATTTTTTGAGCTGGCACCCCACTTTTCGAAAATCGAACATTCTGATACCGCAATAGATTGTTCTAGTTGTTCCAAATATTGTTCCAAAAGCACAAATTAATAAGTTTAATTATAAGCCCGAAAAATTAAAAAAAAGTTTTTTGACAAACAGTCTATCGGACCAAGAGTAAACTTATACTATCTTTCTTGTTCCAACCGAGATCTTTTTGTTCTGAGTTGTTCTAGGCTTAAGGATTATATTTCTAGAGTATGAGACTCATAAGATCATTCGTTCTCCGAAAATTCGTAAAAAAATCGATTTGACAGTACTCGACGTCAAGAGTAAACACATGCTTCCTTTCTTGTTCCAACTGAGATCTTTTTGTTCTGAGTTATACTAGGCTTAAACGACGAAGCAATTTCACTTTATTTTGTCATGACATTTTGTAATTATTTCCGCCAATTTTCCTATAATAAAGATTAATTTTTGTAAGAAATCATCTTTTTCTTGAATTTTTGTCACCTCAGAAATATATTTCAATCATCCTTATTTTCAATCATCCAAATAATTATATTTTTGTAAATCAGTATATAGAACTTTTTTTTTTAAGAAAATAGTTTCATCTAAAAAAACCTGAAAATATTTTTGTTAATTTTAATATGTTGTTAAGTTATGAATTTTTTTTACGAAATTACATTTTTTGTCGATTTCGGCAAATTTAAATTGTTATTGCAAAAAATTGATAATAAATGACTAAAGTAACTATTGGAACATAAAATATAATCTCTCAATATACTGATTTAAAAAAGTATAATTATTTGGATGATTGAAAATAAGGATGATTGAAATATATTTCTGAGGTGACAAAAATTCAAGAAAAAGATGATTTCTTACAAAAATTAATCTTTATTATAGGAAAATTGGCGGAAATAATTACAAAATGTCATGACAAAATAAAGTGAAATTGCTTCGTCGTTTAAGCCTAGCATAACTCAGAACAAAAAGATCT